CCTGCCCCCCCCCCTTTGAAGGTTGCACCTCCCCTCCCCCATACCCCTCGCGGGTCATGCCTGCCCCCGTTACCCCACCTACAAGTCCTGCCTTCCCCCTACCTCACCTTCCGGTCACACCTCCTCCCCTACCCCTCACGGGTTGCGCCTACCCCCAGTCTCCTCCAGTCTGCTGGAGTCTCGGCCACCTGGCTTTCCCTCCCCACCCTGATTTACCTGATATTGGGCAGCCATTTTGAATCAATTTAACCTTCCCCTAATACCCCTGAATGTCAGTACTTGGCTTTAGCGTCCAAGATTTGATGCCTTTTCCTTCAGTCTGTCTCTGAGTCCTGTCACTTCTCCACCTGCAGCTCCTTGTCTCGTTCCTATTTCTGTGATCTAATCAGACTGAGTCTGCATGCGGCAGACTTCTGTGCTCAGTCCCCTCGCTCAGCTAGTCCCGTCTCTCCTCTCAGTCTCTCAGCTAGCTTGTTTCCTTGCCTCATCAGTCCCAAGTCTTCATTAAATTTGTCTTTCTCATACCCCTTCTCAGGCTGCTTGTCCAACCTCAGTCTGTTCTAGTTTCTCCTCTCCTCCCCTCCCCTACCTCCTTATCAGATCTTTCTCCTCTACCATGCCCACCAGCTCTCCCTGGCTTCTCTGGTTCCTGGTCCATGTAGTTCCCATTCCCTGCTCCTCATGTAGTCTCAGTCTCCTACTCCAGAAGCTCAGGTTCTTGTGCCAGCCTTCTTGCCCAACTATTTATTGCAAGTCTCGTCTGCCTCTCCACAGGTCCCAGTCTGAGTGTCCTTGTCCAGCTAGTCATAGTTTCTCTCCCCTACTTCAGCTTCCAGTCTCAGTCTTACCTTCCATCTGAGACTTTATCCCTGTCTTCTCCCACCTTCTGTCCAGGTCCAGATCCAGATCCTCCTCCTCTACATTTAATTCAGGCAGCTTCTTCCCCTGCTCTGTCTGGTCCCACCCATGGCAGGAGAGGGAGAGTGGATATTGGGAGCAATAAGAGAGTTACATTTGTTATTTGCTTTCAATTTAGAAATGCAGTAACAAGGGAAGTTCTGCTTAGCTGAAATTTGCCCAGTTCCAAATAAGCCTTTGGGGACCTAAGCTGCAAATCTATCAGGCCTCCATTGCACACGTGAATTGTACATTTTTCTTCAAAGGCTTATAACTCAACCAAGTCTGGGCAGATTTTTACAGAAATGGTGAAATACCCACTCCTGATAAAAAGGCCACCCCCAGCCAGCTGTGCTTCAAGGCATGGGAGTACTCGAGCTTTTAAAAATTCAGATGGCAGCAGGCATTCATCACAAATAGTTTTATAGAAATGAAAAATGTCAGGCAACCTTAATAACTGGTGGGGCTGCCAATCGTGGAGTCTACGCAACATACTTGTCACAATGACCCACATTTTAATATGTAAATATGGTATTTTAGACTGCCAAGCTCTGTTCCCCTTCAGGGTTTTTTGTGTAACTAATACAAAGGGGGCTTTTCTATAACCACGCATAACACAAGAATCAGCCCAGGATTGCTAAATGGGTAAGTTACAGGTAAATTTCAATGTTTCAGTTCCTAAGGAGGGCCTGAAAAGTCAAGCTTTGTTTGAAGAAATTCGTATGACATACATTAAAGAGCTGGGGAAAGCCATAGTGAAGAGAGAAGGGAACTCGAGCCAGAACTGGCAGCGGTTTTATCAGCTGACTAAGCTTTTGGATTCCATGCATGAAGTAAGTTTAAAAACATTCACTTTTACACGTTCTGCATAGAAAAGCTTGTGCAGAGACACTCTGCTGTTGAAACCTGATTGGAGCTGTTGAAGTAAAACGTTTGCATTTGCTGAAGCAGTTATAAAAAGAACCTTTTCAAGGAACCCATCCATTGAAAAGACACGTTTTTGTCTCCTCCTGTAGTGCCCAAGGCTGACAGAAGAGTTAGGGAATGTTGCTGTTTTTCAGCTGGCATCAGACTTTCAGGGTGGTAGAAATTACTTTTAACCTTCTGCTTTGAAGTTCAGTAGATCAAAAGCTGTTTGTTCCCCTTTAAAAGGGAATCATGCAACAACCAGATTTTTAGTTTTCAGAGTCTAATTAGTAGTAGTGGGAGGTGTCAAATGACCTTATGGGTAGAAAGCAAATGTCAGATTTATGGAAAACATACTTTTAATTATGTTAAAAACTTCACATAATACCTACATTCAGGTCATTTTGATGTTAGTATTTTTCATAGCATAAGGCAGAAGAAACCTGTTACAGTTTTACAAACCCTGTAACAGTCTAGTCACAGTAGCATGGAGCGGTTTACCCTTCAGGGGTGCTCAGTGGTGCTGTGGCTAAATTGAGTTTGTGGGAGAGACCCAAGCAGGCTTCAAACGGGTTAGTTCTGGCACCAGTAGCAGTCTTTTCTTGACTGCAGCTTAGGCTGAAGGAATAGTGCTCCAAGTCAATGTTGCTTCACTGTGCTTTAGTGTGAGACTAACTTCTCTTGTATCACTTCTAGGTGGTTGAAAATCTTCTAAACTTTTGCTTCCAAACGTTTTTGGATAAATCCATGAGTATTGAATTCCCGGAGATGTTGGCCGAAATCATCAGCAATCAGATACCAAAATATTCAAATGGAAATATCAAGAAACTCTTATTTCATCAAAAGTGACTGCCTTAACAAAAAAAGGGTTGCCTTAAGAAAAAGTCAAATTATAGCTTTTTTTTGTACAAACTATCAGATTTGTTAATTTTGTCCTTGCAACGGTGTTTCTTTTGTAATTATGCACTACATGTGGTTTACAGAGGGCCAAGATTTAGGCTATAGAAGCAGCAGATTTCTCACATTGAATGCTTAAAAGAGTTGGGGGAGGGAGGGGAAAGGAAATGAACTGCTATTGTCAGGCATTGTATTACTCCTCCAGTGCAACATTCGTGGATGCATCCAAGCCACCGGTGCCAAGTTCAGAGCCTGTGTTTTGAACATTTTGCTAGGACTTTCTGCAGTTGGCGGGATAACATTTTCTAGATTTTTTTTTTTTTCTGTAAAGTGTTTTGGGGTTTCTTTTCCCTGTATTTCCCCCTTCCCTCCCCCTCTCTTCTTTTCCTTTTTTTTTAAATTAAGGTAGCGTTTTGGTTTATGCATGTAACCTGAAGAAAGTTTACAAGTGTATATCAGAAAAGGGAAGTTGTGCCTTTTATAGCTATTACTGTCTGGTTTTAGCAATTTCCTTTAACTTTATATACCGTGAATTGGCTTGCTCATTTTTTCTTACATAATTTTTTTGTAATACTTCAAGATGCCTAATGTACAGCTGTTTTTTTAAGGTGGGGCAGCTCTTAGCTTTCCTAAATGACCTCTAGACATTAATCCTTGAGTATATTCACACAAAAATGGGTTGGCTTTTCTAACCTGATTGCTTTCAACTGTCAAGATGACCATAAAAATTTGGCATTTTTTTAGGGTGGGAGGATGGGGGGGATAAGAACTGTCAAATCTAACCTAGATAGATCTGAATGAAACATACTTTTGGTATTTGCGACGATGTGTTGGATATGCCGATTCATAGAAAATTAGCTGAGGCCTAACTGGATGTAAATGAGCAGGTTATTTTATACAAAAGCAAACCTGATTTTTTGCATATAACGCAACAGCCATAACTATAAGAGTCTGGGCTGCATTGACGCCAAGATCAGTCCTGACTGCCCATCAGGAAACTTTCAGGAAAATATGCATAGCTTAAAAAACAAGTTTACTTCTGTGTGGAGAAACTCACATTTTCTATACACTTAAATTTCTCATTATACAAATCTATATAGAAAAAAAGTATTGACTTGAGAGACAGATTTGCAATTATGCCCTATATTTTTTTTATTGTATTGGTTCTAGAAGTGTTTTCTTCAATTAGATGTTTATCTTCATGCAGGCAGTAAAACTGACCAACCGCACTAACAAATTGTAACTCTCTGGATATGCAGACCCCATACTTGTGCAGTTAGACACCTATTGTCACATGTTCATCTGTCACTGATCGGTTCATCTTCTTTCCTGGAGAGCAGGAAGGTTCTGCTACTGATTTTGTGGTTTAGAGTTGTATGTCAAACTTGTCTTTGTAAGGCTACATCCCTTCATATCAAATACTAGTGTGCCATAAAATTACTATAGGTCTTGTGAATTTCTCCTTGTTGCCATTGATAATTATATTTTAAACAATTTAGAAGCTGTAGTAGCCTTTTCTACGTGCACCTTACAACTTTCTGTAAACAGAAAAATAAAATATTTCCTAAGCCACTCTAAAATTTGATTTTTATTCAAAGTGGCCAGATTATTTGTGTAATAGAAATGAAATAAATCCTCTAAATGATAAACTATGAAACGTCTAATATATTTTTATATTTAGTTATAGTTTCAAATATGTATAATTGGTATATTCACTAATCTGAGAAGGGAAGGGCTACTGCAGCTTTAAAAGCAATTTATGAAATGATTGTAAAATAGCTTGTATAGTGTATAATAAGAATGATTTTTAGATGACAGATTGCTTTATCATGACACATGTAATTATATTTTTTGTAGGGGTCACAGATATGCTGAATGGTAACCCATACAAGTTGTGGTTTGTCTGGAAGTATTAGTCCTGGCAGTAGTGATGTTAGGTATCCAAAGACGTACTTGGTTTAAAAGGAAGAAGCTGATACTTAGTGGGTTTTCCTAGGGCTGGATTTTCTATTCATCAAATCACCGTAGAAAAGCGCGGGTTGGAACATGGGTGTTATACTTCCACCTGCTATTTTTGGTTACCCTTCACATTCCAGTAGTAAATTTGCAAACTTTGTGGATTTACTTGACCTCTGCTGCAAAAAATGTAAAGTAAAAAGGGGTGTTTATGCCCGCATGCATGCACCACCGAATATCTGGGGTTAATTTCATATACAGCCTCACGCATCATAGCAAAAACAGCTTAAAATTGGCAATAATACGCATACAGGTACCAGCAATATGTAAATATAGAGCATAGGTTGTTCACGATACACTAATACATTTCTATAGCGCAACAAAAGTTTGTTTCCAAGTGAAATAGGAAACTAAATTTTCATCCTTTCTTAAACCTCTTTTTGAATATTGTACCTATTAAAAAAGATATTGTATTCAGTACTTTTGGAGTAAAATATCACGTTTAATAAAAAAGTAATTCTGTTCTCTTTCAGTGATCTATAAAGAGTATGTACATTTTGTAACAGTTAAGCTAGACTTCAGCAAGTATTTTGACTGCAGTTTTCAACCCAATTGGATGAAAATATTTATGCTACCTGTTTGGAATACAGTTAGGAAAATCCTAGTGTTTGGTTTTAAAAAGGCTCTTTTAAAAAAAAAAAGAAAACGAGCTCTAAAAATGTTATTTCAGAGAATGTTTTAAAAGTTAAACTGAGAAGCTCCATGCATTAATCTTTCATTTTTATCCCCGATACCTCAATTTGAGCTCTCAAGAAATCTGTGTGTATGTGTGTGTGGACAAAGGTATGTGCTGTTGTTTGCCAACCGAAATGTACATGAACAAAATAGTCTGACCTTGGAAGAATTGAGAACTTAGCAGGAAAGAGGCTTTCACTCTTTTGGTTGCTATGTCTGTATGTTCATTCTTTGGTTATGGGTCTAAGGAAAGAAGAAAACTGGGATGTTGGGAGAGAGATTCATTCTGTTTGTGCTGTTATAACGTTTTTGACTTGCTCCATTTTAAATGTAGAAGCGTAGCAAGCAGCGGGCAGTACATGTTTAATATAGAATTAGTCCTTTCAGCGCTGGGAAAAATCTGCACTTTGGGTAAAGCAGGAAGAATCCTGACTTCTGTCTCTTCAGTGCCTTATCACATAGTGCGGGGGACATGTGGATGTTTCTAGAGATGCACGTGAATGGTCCTGGAGACATACTATATTTTGTTATTGCACATGAAAACTGATAGGAATGGCCTTACATAAGATAAGCCAGGGCTTGAAGAAGATGCAGAGGGGAGGTACCATCACCTTATACAATATAGTTGTCACCCAAAGTACAACACAAATCCACTTGGAATCTATTAAGAGTTTTGCAACTGGTAAGAGAGGGAGCACGTCTGAGGGTAAGTGCCAGCCTGGAAGTAGCCTCTTTAGTCTCTCAAAGGTTTTGAGAACAGGTGAGGAGGAGATGCCTGAGCAAGTCCATAAAATCCTGCTTCCCTTCATCACGCTTCAGTGAAATCACGTGTGTGCATGAGGGCTGCAGAACCAGGCCCTAGGAGAGAAATTGTAAGAGGATCGTATGTATAATATATTACTTGAGCTTCATCATTTGTCCAGTCTGCAGCCAGGCGTTGGCAAGCCAACATAGGAACCAAATTTTCAGGAAGGAATAAAGCCTCCTTAAAAAAAAAAATCTTTAAAAAAATGCATAGAGGCTTCTATTTTCTGATGAAAGGCTGTGTGTATGAAAATATCCCCCACCTCCAAACTAACTTGCTAACAGCATAGATTCAAGTGTGTCATTATTCTATTTTGTATATTAAACAAAAGATATATAATGGGGACAAATCCTATATCATACTGGTGTATGGCATTATTAAAAAAAGCTTTTTTCATTATTTTTTATCACAGTAATTTTAAACAGTGTAAAATTAAAACCAGTGACTCCTGTTTAAAAAATAAAAGTTGTAGTTTTTTATTCATGCCGAATAATTCTGTAGTAACAATTCTGTAGTTTTCACCTACTCAGTGAAATGTTGGACTGTAAAATCTTGTGTGGAACTGTTGAACATTTATTTTTTCATTTAAATTTGCTGTGCTGGTGATACAAAGCCACACATCTGTACAGAAGTTGCAGTAAATGTGAGCCATTTACAGCAATGCCGAATAATGGACAGAAATCACATAATAAAATTCTGCTTTTTTCATTAAATGATTCCTGTTTTGTAAAGTGTGTTGTGTCCCTGACCAGGATGATGGGAGACAGTTGAATCAGTGCCTTTATACTTTGCTGTTCATCATGAATGTGAAAGTTAACATCTTACTGGGCGTGTCTATATGTGTAAATGGTACAGGGTGGATTTACTCTACAGCAGTGGTCACCAACCAGTCGATCTTGATTGTGGAGTGACAGTCGATAGTCGGGCTCCGTGATCAGGAGCAGCAGGACGCACATGGCTGGGCTGAGCCACGCCCCCTGCCACCCAGGCTGGGCTGGATGAGTGGGGTCAGAGCCCAGGCAGCTTGTCTGGGAGGGGAGGTGGGGACAGATCCTGGGGTGCCCTTTACTTACAAAAAATTATCTTCACCATAAAAAGGTTGGAGACCAGTGCTCTAGAGTAAATTACTTTAGTAAACCCACCCCTGGCAGGCATCTACATGTGCAGGTTACAGGAGCAGATTTGCTGCTCTTGGCAGCAATCTGCTTCTGCCCCCTCTGGGCCTGTAGCACCCAGAGGGAGCTGAAGGAGCTGGCTGCATGTGTCTGCAGCCAGTGGCCATCTTTAAAAGGCAGCCCTGCATGCTGCTCCCTGGTCACCTACCTCCCTGGCCCAGAGTAGCTATGGCTGCTCCACCCCCAGGCCCCGGGAGTGACATCCAGCACCCCAGCCTCCTGCTCACCACGCTTCCCATGATGCTGGCCTGCCACCTGGCCCAGGTCAGTCTCAGCCCTAATGCTCACCCCTCACAACCCAGTGCAGCTGCCTGGCCTGGCTCACTGTGCCATCCCAGGCCTCCTGCCCTTGTGCTGCTGCCACCCAGCCCCTGTGCTGTCACCCAAACCCCAGCAGGGATGCTGATGACATGCTTCTGGATGCTGCCACCGCTGCCGTCCATGTACTTCTGGGCCTCCAGCCCTGCTGCCTGTGAGCCCGCTCAGCTAGGCAGGACTGGTGGCTGCATGTTGTCCAGATCACCTGCAACACCAAGCAGTGGCTGGAGGTGTTCCAGATGACCTAGGCCACCTTCCTGGAGCTCCTTGACCAGTTCCACCTGCACCTGGGGTGGCAGGTCACTGCCATATGGCTGCCTCTTCCCACAGACACTTGGCTGGCCACCACCCTGCTCAAGCTGACTGTACCTGCCAGCCTCCACTAGGCGGGCCACCTTTTCAGCATAGAAAGGGCTACCACTGGGGAGGCTGTCCTGAAGGTCTGCAGCACTTTCCAGGACATTCTGGCCCACTGTGCTCTGGATGCATGACCCCGTGGAGGTGGCGGGGTTCTGCACCCTGCACTTCCCCCAATGCATTGGGACCTTGGACAGGACCCACATCCCTGTCACCTGCCCACCTTGCAGTGACTGCCCTACTACAGCTGGTGTGGGTTCCACTCTGTCATGCTCCAGGCTGTTGTAGGCCACTGTGATGCCTTCACCCATGACACCTGCATCTTCTGCAACTCCACCCTGCCAGCCCTGGTAGAGAGCTGGCGCTTTGTTTTGGGGGTGCCAGACCTTCAGCTGGGTGCAGTGATGGTCCAGCCCCTCCTCATCAGGAATCCTGCCTACCCGCTGCTCCCCTGGCTTGTGTGGCCCTACACCAGCCAGCAGGACCCCCCAACCAGGCACACTTCAACTGGTGCCTTGGCTGGACCCACATGCTGGCGGAGTGCACCTTTGGCTGCCTGAAGGGATGCTGGTGCACCCTCACTGCCTGCCTTGAGGTCACCGAGGCCGACATCCCCCAGGTCATTGCCTCAGCTTGTGTGCTGCATGACATCTGTGAAGCCCAGGGCCAGCTCTTACACAAGGCTTGGGCAGAGGACACGTGGCACCAGGAGCACTAGCTGTGGTGACAGTAGTAGGCCTCCCCACTCGACTGAGGCCCCAGCTGAGCCGCCCACCCACCAAGGTACCGGGTGCAAGAGGTGCTGGCTAATCATCTCTTCCTGTGCTCCCCACTAGCTAGCCTGGACAGCCACCCATGGAGCCCCGCCCCCACCATGCACCCCTAGCACCATGCTCACTGCAGGCAGGTCTCAGAAAAGTACTTTATTCCCTTCCACAAACACAGCACCCCTCCCCTCCCATCAGGGCCCACGTGTGGTGGTGGCTCAACTGAAGGCAGCTTTTGCTCCAGGGCTACCTACAGCTGGGGTGAGCAGCGGGGCTGGGCCCAGGTGCAGGGGGGCTGGGGCAGGGACACCTGGCCAGTGGAGGCATCGCTGCATCTCAGCCCAGGCTCATGGGCTGGAGCAGAACCCGTTGGCCAGAGACTGGCTGCAGGTAGTCCAGGGTGCTGCTGTGCTGTGCTGTCCAGGGTAGCTGCCAGCAGCACAGGACAGGCAGCCATGCAGCAATGCAGTGCCAGGGAGCAGCACTGGGCTGTGGGCAGGATGCTGTGGCTGGCCTGGGACCTCCACAGGGACACACAGTGGCCAGAGGCTGGCTGCAGGTGACCCAGCTTCCCCACAGGCTTTTAAGGGCCTGGGGCTGGGGCAGACAAAGAGCCACCCTAGCCCTGGGACTGGAGAAGCTCTCAGCCTTGGGGCCCTGGGGCTAAGCTGTAGGTGGCCTGGTGGTGGGATGCAAACTTGCTCCTGGTCAGCATCTACATGTGTGATACTGCACAGTAACTAATCAGGAGTTAATTTGCTACTTGTTTTTGCAGGTAGCAAATTTACTTGGTTAGTTCAAATTACTGTGCAGTAATTATCTGCATGTGTATTTGCTGTATTGCACAGTAAAGCTTCTCATGTAGGTGCATGCAGAGTCTAAATCCAGTTTCTGTTGTGGTAAGGTAGTGAGCACAAGATTTTCTGATAGTGGAGATCAAATTCACACTTTAATTAGAAAGCGTTAGATGCATTTTTCTAAATCTTACTACATTCACTGTCAAATTCCTGACTCTTAACTTTAATTTTTCTGGCGAGGAGCCAGTACCAACAATCGCCTAGTAACATAGAAATGAACAGATCTTGCAGTCCTTGAAGAAAATCAAAGTAAGGGAAACATCAATTTAAATTGGAGGAAAAACACTATTAATACATTAATAAAAATGATCAGTATTCTATTTTTTCTTAAGAATATGAACCTGTTAATAATGGAGAGAAGAAAATTTTCATCATGAATCTGTGGGAAGCTGAAAGGCTTAATGCCAGGAGGAAAATCAAAATACTAGAAAACATATATTCTCTGTACTTAGATTCAACTGCATCTAAATGGATGTGTACGGAAATGCCTTCAACTAAACATTAGCTGTTTGCAGTGTAAATCATAGATTTGATTTTTTTTTTCATGCATCTTCAGATCGGTTTCGGCACAGTTCCAGCCTACTTTGAATGGCCTGTTTGCACAGCAGTAATAAAAGGAAGCTGCGGCAGCTGAGAGATAAGTCTGCAGCAGTCATATCTTTAAAACAGAGGTGGCCAGAAATGTTTGCGTGTTGTGTGCGGTCTGTTTACTGTTTTAGGCCCAGCCTGTCCCATGGGCGTTAATCTTAGGTGGCAAGTTCAGCATTGGCTGCCTCTGCCTAGGTGTCAGTTGTAGATCAGATCCTCCATTTTGAAATGAGCTATTTGCACATTGTGCTGGCTCTGATCCTTTTTTGACAATAGCTGGAGTAAATGGTTAAAAGAGTTGTAATGGCACTGTTGAGGGGCTACATTTTAGATGGCCTTGACTGCTATTCTGTGCTGCAGAGATATCAAGCTGGACCTGAAGTCCTCCCTGGTTCAAAGTCAAGCCATGAATGCACAAAAGGATCCTAACCGCCCCAGGTCCTGACAGTAGCCCAAAGGATGTTACTGCGTTAGCAAAGAAACCGAGACAGGGAAATGCATTCAGGATTTTCAACTAGCTCGTTGCACTCTTCATGCTACTGGAAAAGCGCAGCAGGTTAGAATCCAATGCAAAGTCTGTATGCGTGTGTGTTGTGCTTTCACCATCAAGTGCCCCTAAAGGGTTAAACAGTAGGCAGGGTATCCCCCCAACTGGAACTGGGGGGGGAGGCTGTGTTTAATGGTTAAGCTGAGATAGACCTGGGAAATAAGGCAGTTGGAGCATGTGTACGAGCGCTCAGACGGAAATCCTTGGCAGGAGAGATGCATCCCAAGAGGCTGCTTAGAGACCCCAAACTAGCGACTACCCTGAGGCCTCTGTTCACACTCGGGAGGCTTAACGTTTGCAAGATCCAGTGGTTGTGACCCAACCTAACAGCCCAGTGAACATCCAGTTCAACAGCGTTTGAGTTTCTGGATTAACCCTGCTGAAAAAGTTTCACTGTTGTTGTTTGATAGTAAAAAAAACAAGCTGGTCTTCATTTCAGACTATGACCTGAGTCACTAGAACAAGGACAGCTGCCATACAACACACCTTCTGGCATGTGAGCGTTACTATTTGAGATTTAAACCTGACATGTATTAAGCATTTTTAAGCCAGTCATAAATAAAACTGTTTTGAGTATTTGAAGTTTTACCCACCATTTTACTCCTTTTTGAGCACAAGGAAAGCAGATTAGTACTGTGAAGAAAGCTAATTGGAATGCAACATAACATGTCGTCTTCCAGCAAAGGAGCGCTTTGAAGTCCAAATTAATACACGAACCATACATAAGTTGCTTATGGCCGTGGCTACTGGGTAAATATACTGTGTGCAGCCAGCAGCATCTTCAAACACCTGGCATTGCTCTGGGCAGGTTTCCGCCTTGCCTGGAAGCAGTGTAGCTATGTCTGCAATGCCCCGTGGGTGGGCTAATTGCCTGGCCATGGCATCATATGCAATTACCTCCACATTAAGTTAGTTTAGTTATACTGGCATATCTTTTCAAGCCAGATGTCTCTACAGCAAAGCCACAAGGTCCGATACGACAACTTAAAAGTGAATTGTAAGCTGACTGGTCACTTCTGCTTAAAAGGACTCTTGAGCGCATGTATATTGGAGGCAGGGCTGTCCCAGGTGGGAGAAGGTGGGGGGGGGCAGTGAATCGAGGTG